GGTTTGTAACTTCAGGAGAAGGCAGAGGGGGGCAGTCAAGATGTCTTTGCCCCCTCCCCCCAGATTAGAGCAGATAACTCTCTCTTTCAAGTCGACCTGAGTCTGCTTTGATTCCCCTTTTCTTTCACAGGGCAATCACATTCAAAAGGGCTGTAGTTTCTCATAAAGGAATAATCCCACAAAGCACACTCAGACCCAAGGACATGTAAGACTCTGGGTGGACGTGCCTCAGGAATGAGAGCAGCCTGATCCGAGCAGGTCTGCCCCTCTCTGCTTCTCTAGTGCAGAGGTCTTGATGCCTAGCAAAACAGCCAGTCTGGGTGGACGTGCCTCAGGAATGAGAGCAGCCTGATCCGAGCAGGTCTGCTCCTCTCTGCTTCTCTAGTGCAGAGGTCTTGATGCCTAGCAAAACAGCCAACTTATAGATACATGAGTGTCCTTCCAATGCCCATGCTTTCCCTGTTCCTGCTAGATGCCTTCCTGTACCTGGTGCCATGAGAGATCCTAGCTGTCTTATGAACCAGCTCATTGCATCTTCAAGTTCAGTGTCAACTTGTGTAGTTGGGTCATGTCTGAAGGTTTTTACTGGAAATATCAGAAAAGAAAACAAGGTATTAACAAGTACCTTCAACATGCCAAATAATGTTCTAGATGCTTCCATGTATTCATGTGTTTTTTAGTGCCCATGAGTAAACATTCCTGTTTGTTTTGGATAAGCTGGAAACTGAGGTCACACAACTAAACAGTGATGAAATCAGGGTCTTGTCACACTATTTATCAGAAACCATGAGTCTATCATCTTGCTATGCCTGTTTCTGTTGTCCTTGTTCTAATGTGACATCCAAGGAACCCTAGAGCTGGCTTTGGCCAGCTGGAAGCCCAGCAGTAGACAATGCCACAGTCAAGAGCACTTACTGGCTAAAAAAGGAAATAACTTTCTATATGTGAATTCTTGCCAAATGGTGGCAGATGCTAAAGAGTCTGGGAATCCTGACCACTGTGGGCCAAACCCAATGCAGTGATCAGCGCCAGGAGCAGCATGTGTAGGAGCTGGCCTGCCAGTAAACTAGAAGGTAAAAGGAGGAATCCCAGGCTTCCTGTGGGACCAAAATGAGCAAAGACCTCTCAGAAGTTGAGACTGGGGTTCTGGGCATGGTTTCATCATACTCTGTCAGTCCTCGGAATCTTTCCCTTTTTAGAGATATGGGGGAGTGTGGGTTTTGGAGTCAGGCTGATGAGATTCTAATCTCTTATGCAGCATTTGCTAATCTTAGGACTGTATAAACTACTAAAGCCCTGAGCCTCAATTTTGTCTTTTGTGAAATGGAACAATACAACTTCCCTAACAGAATTAATGGATGAGTTAAAAAGTATAGTCTGTAAAATGTTTTGTATATGGGAACATTCCTTGCCTTTAATAAGTACTATCTGTTCTTAGGGCCTCTTGTAGAGTCATCTCACATAAAACAAGGGTTGAGTTTGAGTGATGTCCGTGTTCCTTTTACCTGTACGGCTCTAGGAATCTATTACAAGACAATAGGAACAGTGAAGAAATGTGAGTATTCCCACAAGTAGATTTTTCATTACTAATTGCATAGGTACTAACAACACCCTTGGGGTAATTAATAGGGACCTCCCAATAGTTTGTTGTAAGTTATTATTTTCATGCACCACCCATTTCCATCAACTCCTTACAAATATTTCTTCTTTTAAAATTGCAAGAAGAAAATTAATATTTATCTTAGAATAACTCTCTTTCTTCACTTTGCCTGTTCCTTTCCACCTTCTTGGCTTTGAAACAACAATCTGCCAGCGGGGCGTCTTTGAGTAGACCAATCTGTCCTTGCCAGAATGAAATAATTAGGTTTAAAGAGGAGTTAATTATCTGCTATTGGCTTGAGTAGGAAGAGAACTGAATGTGTGCCTTATCGCATCCATCTGTCTCTTTCCCCTTTCCCACCTCTGTCTTCCTCCTCCCCTCTATGGTGTGGACTTCTAATTCTGAGGAAGTACTCATAACCATAGTTTTTATCCGGTACCTGGTCATTTTCCTCAAGGCTGGACTAGCAACTCCAAGACTAAGTCAGGGAAAGAATTTCAATTCTAAGTGTAAGAATTAACCCCAACTTCTTAAATCAGTTCCCAACCTAAAATTGTCTCATGAACATCCCTGCTCCAGTCACCTTGTATGAAAGTGGCCAGTTCCTACTGGCAAGACTTTACAAAAGAAAAAAAGGGTGGGCAATTTAGGTAAAATTTAGCGTGGTTGTGAAGACAGGTGCATTACTGTCAGGTGTTCCAGGAGCTGTGCTTCTCTCCAACTCCACCTTTTACCAGTGGTGTGAGCTCACTCTGAGTGTGTAAAAAGGAATGAGAGTAGTCCCCAATTCCTTAGGTTGTGGTGGTAATCAAATGAAAATGAAAAACAATATGTACTATCTATCAGGTGTCTGGCAAATAGAAAAACCTCTGTAAGTATTGTGTTATTATCACAGTTATCCAGATTCAATATGTGTGTGTGTGAGAGAGAGAGAGATACAGAGAGAGAGAGGAACTAGAAAATGTAGCTGAGAATCTGAAAGGATAGTGAAGATCAATTTTGCATGTAATTCTTCCCATATACCGCAGGGAAAACCACTGGGATAGGTGAAAAATGTACACGAGTGACTAACATACAAAAAGCTCTGAGCTGATGCTTAGTCCTAGCACTTCATAAAGCCGTCTCTACTGTCCGGCATAGAATAGAAGCTCAATAAATGAACACTTTCCGAACTACGCTGATCTGACAAGATACTATGTCTGGGGCATTCTTTAAGGAGGCCCTGTAGGCCCTTTTACAACAGAATTCTCTTAATCGGGAAGCAAGTCAGTCTTTCCCTGTGCTGCATTCCACTGTATGGTGAGAGGAATTACAGCATGGGCCCAAGGGATTGTTATTATTACTATGAATAACAACTTTTATTGAGACAGAGATCTATTAGATACTATCCAGAACATATGTCATTGTCCAGAATTAGCCTCTGAGGCGTGGTCTTAAAATCTAATTTTGACCAACTTGGATAAGTTCCCTAGTAATCTGAGGGGAGGAAGCACAAAGAAATAGTCTATAGTGACAGTATCTACTCTAGAAACAACCAGTACTGCTTAGCAAGCAGAGCTCTCTCATAGGCAGAAGGAAGGACCATTGGCTTCCATCTCCCCGGAGTTCTGGTCACCACAGTCATGGGCCAGGAGCCCCTAAGCCAACTTCCCAGGAGGCTGGCCTATTGCATGCAAGAAGACTCATAACTATTGCTAACCCACTATATGCATTCTTTGTCTTTCTTTCAACAGACCAGAAGGATCAGTCTCAATCTATTTGGCACTTGATGTTTTGGGTCACCTAAATGGTATACCTCATCCGTTGTTGTGGATAGATTACACACTACCAGGTACACAGCACAACATTAAGCACTAAGGGGGTCTAGAGGGGGAGAATTCCAGGGGACAGAGTACAATGAGAGGTCATACATGGCTAATAGAGGAAATAGTTCTCAGTATGTACATGAGACAAACACCCCCACCCTCCACCCCTGGCTCACCAGTGCAGCCTAAGGCTCAACTGCTGGGACACAGAATTTGTTGTCAGATACTACGTTAGGAGGATTGCTACATTCTATAACCTCAAAGAATAAAACTAGAGCCAACAGAAGGTAGATAATTTTAAGCTATTACTTTGGAAACTTCCTGTTCACTCATAACACAGGGACTCTTGAAGAGGAGAGACTAGGATGCAGTTATAGCAAGTATATTGGTAGACAGCTGTCACCCGTGGCCTACATAATGTGTGCTACAGCCATTACTAAAGGACTACCCCAAGCACGGGGGTTATGAATTGTGGTTCTTTATATCCCAAGTCCCACTACTGGAGGGCTGTCCTATTAGGACCTGCCCTTGGAAGCAAGGCAAGTACTGGGTGTAGTTAATCCAGTGGAATGAGAACGACTCTGGACTCCCAGGCATGAGCTCCAAAGTTTTCTACAATCTGCTCCTGCCACCTAGGCAGGCTTTCCATCCTTACTGTTTTCTTTATACTCTAAAACCATGCCTGTTCTCAATCCAGTGAATTTGTTCATGCAGTTACCTTTGTCTGAAATACCTTAATCTCTTCTGCATCTCATTCACCCACTCTGTGCCCCAATAAACATCACTCTTACTAAGGCTGTCTCCTCTGGGAATTACTTTTTACCTACCTATCTGCTCTTACTCCCACTTCTGTGGTCAATGTTATTTTATTCATTTGTGTGACACAGCTCTTAATTTCTATTCTATTGCTGAATTTATTTATGTTCCTCTACAGGACAGTGTTTCTTTACTATAGAGTCTTTAAAAACAAGTGTGTGCGTGCATGCGTGCACACCTTCAGAGCCAAGGCATTGGATCCCTTTGGAGCCGGAGTTACAGGTGGTTGTGAGCTGCCTGACATGGGTGCTGGGAACTAAACTCAGTTCCTTTGGAAGAGCAGTGCAGCCTCTTAATCATTGAGCCATCTCTCTAGTCCCTAATGTAGAGTCTTACTGACCTTTGAGTCTAATTTCTAGCATAGGGCTAGCATTAGACACTCAATAAATGTTCATGAAGCTGAACTGAATTATACTTTTCTACATTCTTTCCCCAGCACTATATATAGCATAGGTTACATCAGTGGAGCATAATAAATATTTGCTTGATTGCATAAAAGCTGACCCTGGGCCTTATCACCAAACAGCAGATTCATGTCTGAAATCACTCAGTGCCCCAGGGTTTGCAGGGGTTTATGAAGTTCCAAGCACAGAGACCTAAGAATTGATGAACTCCACACTTGGAAGGGAAATGGAAAGACGCTTGCTGGCATCACACCAGATTGATTAGAAACTAGAATGAAGCCCTCGTTCTGCCCTCCATTAGTCTTTCTTCTTTGAACAAGTCTGCTCTATGTGTTTTAGCCTCTGCAGAACAGGCAATAGCAATCACTAAACAAAGTGTTTATGCAGATTCAGCCATTTGACAATAAAAATCAAAGGACTAGAATCCTGAAGGTGAAATTCAGTCTCAAAGAGAGAAAATAGAGTTCTTGCTCACTGAGTTAACAAGAAGTTCTAGAGAAGTACATTTTGAGCAGTGGAAGGTTGTAGCTGTATTGCTGGACTTAAGGAAGATTTGAACCCCCTTAGCACCACTGTGCTGTTGTGACTGGTAGAGCTTCTCTCACTGCTGTGACCAAATACCTAACAAAAGCAGTTTATGGAAGGAAGGTTCTTTTGGCTTATGGTTTAAGAAGAGACAGGGTTCATTATGGTGGGAAGGCGTGACAGTGGGAGTGTGAGGCTGCTGGTCGCATTGCATCCACAGTCAGAAAACAAAGGTGAATGCTGGTATTCAGTTCACTTTCTCCTCTTGTTTTTATTTAACCTGGAGCCTCAGTCAATAGGATGGTGCTGTCCACATTCAAAGAAAATCTTCCTTAATTTAAAAAATTTTTATTTTGTTCTTGTGTATGTTGCTTGTGTATACATGTATTCCTGTATACATGTGTGTAAAGGTCAGCGGTTGACACTGGGCACCTCTCTCAATCTGTTTCTATCTTTTTTTTAAAGTTTTTTTTTTTTTTTTTCATTTTTAGCTTTATGTGTATGAGTGTATTGCCTGCCTGGATGTAAGTGCACCTGTGTCACACAATACCCAGGGAGGTCAGAGGAGAGTGTCAGATCCCCTGGAACTGGAGTTCGAGCCACCATGTGGGTGCAGGGAATTGAATACGGGTCTTCTGCAAGAGGAGAAAGTGCTCTTAACCATTGAGCCATCTCTCCAGCCCCCTCGCCCCCCCCCCTTTTTTTTAATTTTTTGAGACAGGGTGTCCTTGTAGCCCAGCTGGCCTGGAACTTGCTATGTAGACCAGGCTGGCCTTGACCTCATAGAGACCCTCCTGCCTCTGCCTCCTGAGTGCTGAGATTAAAGGTGTGAACCACCACACCTGGTGACTCCACTTTATTTTTTGAACAAGGTGTCTTTAAACCTGGAACTCACTGTTTCAACTAGTCTGGCTGTCTAACAAGTCCCACAGATCCTCCTGTCTCCACCAACCTATTGCTGGGATTACAGGTCACTGTAGCACCCAGATTTTTTTTTTTTAATTTTTACAAAAACTTTATCGAGAATTTCATACATGTTTATAAGGTGTTTTGATCAAATCCATGCCCACTCCCTTCCCTCCAACATTACCCCCTCTCTGAAGAGGTAACCCTAAAGTCTTTTAAGGATTAGATACAAGCTCCCAAATACTTTTGACATTTTTAGCCTTTGGAACAGAGTATGTTGCTAACAGGCCCAAGGACATTTTGACTTTTAGCCAAGAAACTGGCTACATTTCTTTGGGGTCTTTTTACCCTAACTGCCTAGCCAATTCCTACCTCCTGTTCTTATCATGCCATCCTCTGAAGTGGTTACCCAAATTGCCAATGGGGAATAGGGACGCAGACCATGCTGGCTTCTTCCATGCTAAACAGGGACTCAGGGTGAGACAACTGGAGTACCCCTTCAGTGGGTCTATCTACAAGACTCCCAAATTGCATAACTCTTGTCTCTAAGGGGAGAAGAAAGTCCTTGAATCATGAATAGGAGATGTGAAGGAGAAGTAAAGGCAAGAGTAATTAACATTACAAGTTCTAGACAGGGAACTAGAAAAAAGTCAGAACAGGGCAATTTTCAAATGTTCATATGAGAGTCCATTGGCGTTTCTTGACAAAAGAAAAATGAGGAGGAACCCAATAGAGGGATGCTTTTGGAAGCCCTTGTCAAGAAACTCCAATGGACTCTCATATGAACATTTGGAAATTTGAAAATAGCACCCAGATTTTTATGAGAGCACTAGGGACCCAAACTCAGGTCTTCAAGCTTGCTTGCATAGCAGGCATTTTACCAGCTGAGCCATCTCCCCAGCCCCTCAGTGAAGGCTCTCTGGAAACTCCCTGGAAAACACACCCAGAAGTGTGTTTTAGGTGATTCCCAATCCAGTCAAGTTGTCAATGAAGATGAATCGTTACACTACTATATCAAATAGTTTCTTCAACCGCTAAGAAAGCATTTGTTATATTGCTAATAAGACAACCTAATATAATAATACAAAGAAGGAGCTTTGTTTTTTAAGAAGTTTACTAGACATTTGGAACTGGAGAGATGGCTCAGCAGTTAAGAGTACTGGCTATTCTTGCAGAGGACCTGGGTTTGATTCCCAGCACCCACATAGCAGTTAACAACCATCCATAACTCCACTTCCAGGAGAATCTGATGTCCTCTTCTGACCTCCACAGGCATTGCATGACATGGGTGCATTTACATACATACAGGCGATACTCTCATAAATATACACATGTGCATGCATGCACACATACATACAAACACACGCGGACATACACACACACACACACACACACACACACACAAATAATTTTTAAACGGTTTACCAGCCATTGGAGGAGAAAAGGCTATTAAATCCATGAGGGAACGAATCATGCCAGGCCTGGTGTAGTGGGAGATATATAGAAAAACCTGGGAAAGTACTTGTGGATTGGCCGATAGGGAACGTTTTGGAGAACAAATTTAGGCAGCATTTAACCAAGTATGAGACTGTATCTCACATGCTGGGTGGTAATTCAGAGACTAGGCAACATCAAAGAGAGCTGAGGTCAATTTAGAAGACATTTCCATTTCATCCTTCATCCTTCATCAAAGGAAAGGTACTGATTCTGAGTTTATGACTAATCTGGTGGTTCTGAAAAATTAAAAAATAAAACCATTAGCTGTATAAAACCATTAGGAAGGAATACAATGATGTAGATATCAGTAGAAGCACTGGACCGAACTGTAGACACATATGCTTTATATCTAGCATATAATTCATGAAGTCAAGACATGAAATGATCCATTCTTGTTCTATATAAAATCTTTGGTCCTTTCCCTCTTATTCAATGTGCTTGTCACTTTTTGTTGCTATATTAAAATAGGGATAAACAACTTAAGAGAAAAAAGATTTATTTTGGCTCACAATTTTGGAGATTGCAGTCCATGCTAAGATGGCTCCATTGGTAGAAGAAAGCTGTTCACCTTATGGCAGCCAGAAAGGGAAGGAGGGAGAGAAGAGGGAGAGAGGGAGGAAAGGAGGGAGAGAGGGAAGAGAAAGAGAGGCAGACAGGATCTAGCAATAAGATACAATCTTCAAAGACACACTTCAAGTGACACTTCCTCCAACTAGGTCCTAGTTCCTAATAACCCATTCAGCTATGAACTCAGAAATTAATCCATCTGTTGAAGTTAGCATCCTCATGGTCTAATGACCTCCTAGTAACTACCAGCTGCAGACCAAGACTTCAGTGAAGCAGGCACTTGGGGCAGGGTGGGAGAGGGGGAGATACTT